CACATGTGACGTCTTAGAAAGGTCGTCAGGGTCAAGAAAAAGGTGTTGGTTCTTGGAATTGGAATCGAGACAAGAAGTATGCCACACAGTTTGAAACATCGGATAGAAAAATTTACAGCGCCTGAAAAGTTTTGTTTAATTACAACAAGGAAACGGCCTTGGGTAGCACATGTGACGTCTTAGGCCTCGTTCATGATTGAAATGTGTTTCGGTTTGGCCACGATCCGAATCGAAGCGGAATATATTTTTGCGTCCGTGATTCAAAACTTGAACCCACACTGGAAACGGTTTCACACCTCGAATTGACTTTCATTTCATATGTATATCACAATTTCTTTGAATATTTCCTGAGAACCGGGCTCGTAAGGCGGAGAGTTTACGCCTGTCCGGGCGAGTGGTCGCTCGTTCCCGACTCATGTCCTCCCCATGGCATAGGCTGTGCCCCGGACGCATCTGGCGCAAACCCCCACGGTCCGCTGCCCCAACGTCCCCGTTGGGCTACCACTCGCCCTCGCGCCCAGGGTAGGCTCTAGTACACACCATCCAGTTTCCTCTGGATCTCCTGATTTACCCAAGTCAATATCGGAACTCCCGTTTCCTCAGTCGACCAGTAATTAGAACTCGATGTCAAGTGTACGATTCAAGTAGAATTTTCCGCACTACAAGCCACTGCGCCGCAAACTATGGCCGACCGTGGCCCCCACGTACCCGGAAGTACAGCGTCGAACCGGAACGATTCGCATCCGCGCGTTCATGATTACAATTCTACGAATGCGTATTGTATCGTTTCAGACCACCTCGCGAGGTGGTTCAGAATAAATCGCAACGGAACTGGTTTGGAGCGTTCATGTTCCTAAATGAATCGATTTATTTTTTTAAATCGAATTGATTCGCAACAGATATCCAATCATGAACGGGGCCTTAGAAAGGTCGTCAGAGTCAAGAAAAAGGTGTTGGTTCTTGGAATTGGAATCGAGACAAGAAGTATGCCACACAGTTTGAAACATCGGATAGAAAAATTTACAGCGCCTGAAAAAGTTTTGTCCTTGCTTAGATGTTTATCATAACCCCGTGTTCCCGCCCACGCCCCATTTTAATAGGTACGCAATCGTAATTTACAAGAATCATAGCTCGCGAATAGCTTATTTATCGTAATTACGTAAGGAAAAATGGAACTTCTGAAATTTCAGCATCCTCATATATATATTCTTCTAGCGCGCCGTTAAACTCTTTAACACATGGTCATCAAAGGAAAGGAGGGGGCAAATAATTTTTTGCGCGAAAAACCGCCAGCCTTTTTCTGAAATATGTGCAAAGCTACGACCTCAAAACAGCAACTACGATGCCTCCCAATTCCTTCCACTTGTTCTAAGACGTGTATTAAGAACCACCGTGTACGTACCTGGTCTACATTTAACCTCTAGGACAGCGCAAATGAAGGAGAAGTTTTTGTATACCTGAAGTCAACAGCTACAACAAATTCTCCATCATGAGCGGAAGTAGATCAAGCTGAGCTGACCTTTCAACTTGTGACCCGGAAATGGTTACGGAGTTACGTTCTTGTGCGTCATTGTTGCTTCCGTTTGAGTCATATGTTTCGATTTACGTTGACGTGTTTTTGCTTGTTCCTTTGTGTCTGCTGCTCGGGTTAATGTCGGGACGGTGGTTTGATGTCGCGGAGCTTTCAGTGCACGGTTAGTGGGTTAGATTTTTACACCCGATTACCTCATAATTGTACCTGTACCGGGGTCGATTGGGAAAAGTAACTTAGGAGCAGACAAATAAATTTTGTTGAAGCTCGCTCGCTGTCGCCTTGCTCGGAATACCAAGGGAGGGGGGTAAATTACATCCTAAGATGATCCGGGTATGACGTCGTTGATAACGGCAGGATGTAATCGTTATGGCTGCCTCCATCGATCGCAAATCTTATCCTTGTTGTTGTTTCCCTAGCCAATGAGGTCCCATGGTTGTTACATTGTGCAGATTGAAAAGGAAGTGGTGGTCTGGGCTTTTGTTGTTGAACATAACGTAACATGAATATGCATGGGTTACATGTTCATATGAAGCGACAGGGCGAAAAAACAACAGACCAAGGCATCCTATGATAGCCCCAAATGGTATGATAGGAGCCTATAGGATTTTGCCATTAACCTTGCTTTATTCAATACCCTTCATGCATATCCTTACTGCATAATGATTATAATGCCTCTGGGCTATGATTCAGCACATATTTTTTAGATACCAGTAGTATATGATGATACCCTCAGGAATATTTTCATCAAGTAGGGGAATGATTGAATATCAAAGTTCTTTATTGACACCCACTTGTTTAACACAAGAGCTGATGAATTGATGACCCGTCATCTTCATCAGGGCAATTATGACTGGTTCACTGCAGCGAGGCTAGGTGTCTCCTGTTTCACTCTGCAGAATGTAACTTATAAGTTATAGTAAGCCTCATAACTATAACATGCAACCATGAATGATGAAGAACCATGAGAATATGCTTAATGCCAATATTCTTTGATATTTTCTTTTGTTTGGGTTTATTTTGTTAAGTGAGCTTAAGCAGTAACTGTAATCAGACTTATCCAAATTTTCAACTGCAGTCTGTCAAAGAATGAGCAATCCAGAGCTTCTATGACATGTTATATTGCAGAAAGTCTGTGGCACCTCCCGTCTTTGTTGAGGGATGGTTGCAATGCCCTAATGTAAATGGCCTCTTTAATAGTCTGGTGCAAAAAAAGTTGGGCTCCGTGTGGAGTTGTAGATTAGAAAATTTTGGTAAGTCCAATTTCTTGTGTTGGAAATTACAGTTTTTACATGCTTCTAGAAGTTCTACCAACACAGATGAAGTCCAGGATGAAGTCAGATCTTGTAACAGTGACATGATATACAACTGTTGAACAAACTTAACATTACACGTAGTCCAATATTGTTCCTAATATCTGTTCTCTTTACCGTAACAGTTGTACAGTGACTCAACATGGATATAGCTGCTGACACAGACAGTGCTGACAACATGGACCAGGGGACTTCTGAGTGGAAAAAACTAAAAGCCAGTAAACAGGACAGGTCTTCCCTCAACGTGGGATGGAACATGGACACTTCTGACAGTCCACCAGCTCAGGTAGGCCAAAGCTACAATGCCTTTTATAAAACTTAGGCCCACTCTAGACGAAGCATTTCGCGACAGCGGTAACTGCCGACAGCGGCACGCCGACAGCAGGAACGCCGTCTAGAGAGGATTCCCGACAGCGTAGTCCCGCTGTCATGAAATTTTCTGACGACAGCTCCAAAGTTGTCGGCCGACAACTCAGCGGGAGTCCCCGACAACTTAAAGTGCGTATAGAGAACTCGCGACAGCGGGAGGTCAGGGTTCAGTTTGTCACAGAGCATCTAAAATGTTCCCCTCGACATCCTGAAGCGCCTGTAAAACTCTGTATCGCACAGTGTGCCTTGAACAAATTTTTGCCAAAAGGTCGCGGGTTTCTTAACGTATCGCCAGATCCTCCGGTGGACAGGATCACCACCTTTTGCCAAAGCAATGGCAGCGGGGAGGTAAGCAGGGCGCGACGTGTCAGCAACATCTCCCGGTATCTCAACCGTCTCTTGCGTGCACCCCTTGCTCGTCGCCTCATATTGGACAAGACGCGAGTGACTAACATAAAGAAAAACATCTGACACACGGCGAGGAAAAACATTGGCGGCTCCCCGCCATTTTGGATTTCACGCGTTAGAACATTCGGATGTTCGATGTTCGATGCAAAGAGATTTGTGTGTATAAAGACGTCGCGACAGCGGCGTCCCGACAGCGGGAAATATCGCCGCTGTCGCGAAATGCTTCGTCTAGAGTGGGCCAAAGTCACATTGTGTGAGAGTTCTTGGTACAAGTACACATACATGTATGTGTATGTTCTTGGTACAAGTACACATATGTGTATGATCCTAACAGCTATTTAGGACAGTGTATTACATGTATTATAAAAACAAAACATCTATCGGTAAATGTGCAAAGGCTGGCCTTAATCATCTTCATCACATTATATAATATGTTATATAATACATGTAGACTCTTGCAGTTGCAGAGTATGTTATGTTATACAATACATCATGGTAATTCATAATGTTATACAATACAGAGTAAGAGTTATATAAGTTTTATGACACACATCAAAGCTGTCTCTCTTTTAATCTCAGTGGGCTGAATGCTGAATAATGTTGGTATAGGAGCAGCCCTTAATACTATAATAGTGTAATGTGCCAACACCCCTATATCAGTTTCCAAGATACATTTTGTAGGGTTAGAGTTGTCAAAACATAATTTGTTGGGACGTAGGGCTATGCCGTAGGGCACTTTATGGCAATACATGGCCAAAAGACATGTGATTAAAACCTTTCAATAGAAGCTAAAAATCTTGAATGTTTCTAATGTTTTAGACAATTTGTGGCCGATGAGTTATACATGTACACATGTAGCTCTTACGTGAATCATGAATTTGTATGGACAACCAGGAAGTGATCCAGACACAAGGGCTAAGGGGTATACGTAGGCCAGTCATCAATGTACTTGTATTTTATGTTGAACAACACTAAATATACAAGTACACATGTATTGTAGAAAAATGCATCAATCATAATGATCTTTTCATTTGGACTAAACACTGAACTTGTATAGGTCCATAGGCATATGATAGGCTAATGAAGGTTAGACATCCACGTAATAAGATCAGAAAAACAACTGGATAGATTTTCAAAGCTGTTAATGACTTTCTTGCAACAGGTAGCTCACATAAGTTCTTGAGACAATGTTTCCTAATAATGTTCTTCTGTATGTTGATACAGGGCCAAAGTGAGACAGTGCAGACAGATGCTGTGTACAATCTGGAGTGGTTACAGAAACAAATGGCAGGAAGAAACAGTGGGGACTCAGTTGTTCCCAACTCCAGGTTAGTATACTGTATAGGTTCTTTGTTTTTTGTAGTAAATTGTACTCACTCAAGTCACAATTTTGCCATAACATTATGTCTTTACAATTGTACTTTTCTTTATCAAATGTGTTTGTGGTTGGATGATTTCAAACAAGGATGAAATTTTTTTCTATCCCGACCCTGCAGGATTCTGCGCAGGTTGTTCTCCTCGGCCATGGCCCATCGTCTGAGAGCCCAGTCCCCCCACAAGTACAGGAACGCGCTGCTCCTGAGGGAACACCTGGATATCCTGTACACCATCTTCCACGGCAAGGCTCCACAGGAGACTGCCAACCCCTTCCTTCTCAGTCTCATTGAAGAGTACAAAAAGATGAAGCCTGCAGAGGCAACAGGTGAGTTTGGGGGGGTCCAGACGACTCAGATCATAACCAACTCAGCCCACAGCAAATCTGGTCAACTAGGCCCAACACCATGGTCAAGTTGGCCAAAGACAGGTCAAGTTGACGAGGAAGTAGCGCAGGGTTGACTGGGATGAGTTATCTGACATTCAGTTTGGGTTCCCAAAATCTTCTTGGAGGATAGACATCATAGACTAGGAAACTGAATATACAAGTTAAGTCTTTTTCATCAAAATGGATTTCAGATGTAGAAAAGCTTGATTTAAGCATTTGATATTAATATTAACCTACCTGAAATCATTATCATCTCTCTTTGCATTATTTGTATGTTGGAGCAATGGAATAACATGCTATTGGAGTAACATTTTTCATTTTGCTCATGCAGGTACATCGGATTCTTCTATTTCTGGCACAGCTACTGATACAGCATCATTGTCTTCAAACTTACCAAGTGTGCAGGGTAGGGAACTATCTCTGGTTTTGATGTTCATTGGCGTAAACACATTTGCACATTTATAACACTTATACTAATAGAGTATGAGGGAAACTGTCTTTTTGCCTGTTTTTTTCCAGGTAGTCATATGCTATAACATTTTATTTTTAGCTGAGAGTCTGTGAGTCTGTCTGTGCATGTATAGCTAAAGAGTGTCAATGGAGAAACATATAGTAACTGTATAATTTCTTCTCCTATAGCTCCTGTAGACAGCTTCTCATCTGACAAGAAAGACAGCTGTACAGCACAGACACAGCAGAAGGACAGTAAGGACAGCAATATCAATGCTGAAACACAGGACGAGAATCCAAAAGCTGTCCAAGCCAGTAGAGGTGACAGTAGAACTGTAGAAGAAGGTGATGGCAGCACAAGTACCATAGCTGGCCATCCTGCCAACAAGGTGCCAACAAAGAAAGTGACAACCAGGATGGGCAATCGCTGCTACTCTTGTTTTGAGTGTTATGACGTCTTTAAGAATTCCATTGAGTTGAGGATGCACTTCCTTCTCCATCACCCCTCCCACCTTCCCTACATTGATGGAGAAGACGACATCTTGGAGGCCAGACAGGTCATCCAGGCCACGGTGGAGAGAGGAGAACACATTGACTTTCGCTCCATCTCCCTGCAGTTTCCCGACATCACAGAGGAGGAGTTTAAGAGGACCAAAAACAGCTGCATGTCTCTAAAGGACAAGATACAAACAACTGTTCAGGGCCTGCTACCTCTAACACACAGTATCAAGTTTGCACAGAACCCTGTGTCAGTGACAACAGTAAATAGTGCTGGGGTACCAAAGTCAGTGTTAAATGGCAGCGGAGAACTCTCTGATGGAAATAGAGAAACTGCTCTAGATTTGTCAGCTAAAGGTAAATGCGATGCGAATATTGAAGGTGCAGAAAGAAAACCATATGTGCCAATGCAGAACCATGGTAAAAAGACCTGGGAGGCTAAGGATAGTACCCCTTCTGCATTAGAAGTCCAAAATGATAAAGGTCCAAAGCAGTTAAGTGTTAAAGTGAAACAAGAACCCAATGATCTGCATGAGTACGGACAGGATGTCCAGAATGAGGAAAGTTCACCAGCTCCTTCTAAACTACTTCAGGAAAAAGTGAAGAAAGAGACTGTAGACAAAGGTGTGGATCCAGTTCCATTGAGCTTCTACTTGAAACAGGCTGCAAACGCAGGAAAGAATGCCGACTTACGAAAAGGTCTCAGTGGTAACTCACAGATTCCCGGCACAGATACAAAGATGGGAATAAAAAGAAGATTGGATGAGCATGATGAAGGATACCTTGTGGAAAAAACATCATCTACCAGGAGGAAGAACACCCGACCAAAGCGGATGAGAGTTGACAGTAACTCATGGGAAGAGGCAGGTATGGGCACTGGGACAGAGAAGGGTGTTGAAGACATACAACCATTGACTGACCAGGGACTGAAAGACTTTCAGACCCTGACCTCATCAAATTGCGACAATAGCTTGAGTGAAGAAGTTCTGGATAAAAGTGCTAAGGGGAAAACAGCAGCTTTATTTAAAGTTAAGATGTGTGTGGATTGCAACAAGACCTTCAGAAGCCACGTGGACCTCAAAATGCATGTGTTACGTCACCACCCAGAGAAGCTTCCCCTGCTGAACTGGCCAGCTGATGACTTTCCCGGCACCAAACCTCCTGATGGCCCCGATGTGGCTGGAGGAGAGGGCAGACCTGGGCTGATCTACTGCACAGAATGCGAGTCCACGTTCAAGATGTTCATGGATCTGAAGATGCATGTGATGCGGGTTCACCCGGAAAAGCTCCCCGACTTTGAGTGGCCCAACAGGGACCAGATGAAAAAAAGGGGCAACCCTTACAGACGAAGCAAGAGAGCAAGGCAACCACACTATAAACTGAAGAGAGGGAGAAGTAGGTCTCCAAAGGGAAGAAGTCATGAAAGAGATCTAGAAATGACTGGATTGGAGTCTGATAGACCAGAGGAGGATCAGTTTGCTCAGGATGGGTCCTTGGACTTGAGGATAAGGAAGTCTATAAAGCAAGAAGTGAGCGGTGAAATTTTAGACCTTAGTGTGCACAAAGTTCCAAGAAACAATGAAGTAAACAGTTACAGCGAGCCCTCGGCAGATGGCTCTGTGCTGTCAACATCGTATGAACAGTTCACAAAAGTGCAGAGCAGAAAGCGAGGACATAGATGTTCTCTATGCCATCAGACATTTGCATTGCTTGTAGAGCGCAAAATGCACGATCTGCAGTGTCACCCAGAGAGGCTGTCAGACTTCAACCTGAGGGATGTACAACACCCCAGCACTACTGCAGATCATCAACTAATGGATCTGTGGACAAAAGAAGTGCCTAAAGGAAGGGGTAAGAACAAGTATACCAGAAAGTGCCCTATATGTACCAAAGAATTTAGATCCCTGATGATGTTGAAGAAGCATGCACTGGCAAAGCATCCTGGGGGGCTTGCTGAAGTGTGCAGAGACAGTGCCCCTGTTGGTGATAGCAGTGTGTTATCATTTGTACCTGGCCCAGGCAGAGTGAAGGATTCTTCCAAGGGAGCAAGCAGCAGTAACTATAATGAGATCATAGCAGCCAACACCAAAGTTCACAGAGCAAGGGCAATGAAGCGTAAATGTCCAGCCTGTGGTGCTTATTTCAAGGCCCTGTCTCGTCTGAAACAGCACGTCCTGTTGGAACATCCATCAAAGCTCGGGGAGGTCTGCGAACCAGACGATGAACCTCCGTACAGACTTCCTCCACCGAGCGCGCCCACGGTCGTGTCGTGCTCGGAGTGTGGCGCAGGGTTCGGCACTCCCATCGAGCTGAAGAGTCACTTCCTTAAACAGCATCCTGCCAAGTTCACGGACGTGTTGAGGCCTTTGGCATCTGATCCTGTAGTGAAGAGATTTGGTGAGTTTGTTGTCCTGAAAGACAGTGTACCGTACAGACACCTGTGTGAAGAGTGTGGCATGGGCTTCAGCACACCTGAGGCAAAGATGACGCATCTGCAGGTGGAGCACCACACCCGGGGAAACAGCTACAGCGCTGCCCTGCAGGTGCTGGTCAATACAAGAGCCAGCAAGTTTCGGGGAAAGATGCATCTCTGTCCCCAGTGTGGTACAGGCTTCAGCACGGAGATTGAACGGAAGCGGCATGTTCTGGAACACCATCCAGGGCAATTTGCACAGTTTGCTGAGGTAACGGATCCTTTGAACCTGAAAGTGACAGAGCCTGTACATGCATCCAGCGAAGGTGAAAAGACGAAACCCGTGCAGCTTAGCAAGCTCAGTGGGTACTCCAAGAAGACTCTGTGGGGTATCCCCTGCCCTGCTAACTGTGAGACACGTTGTAAGACATGGCTAGATCTCAAGAAGCACGTCCTGATGTACCACCCCTCATTCTTTGGAGAAGTCTGCAGGTACAGTCAAGAGGACATAACCAAACTAGTCCTGGAAAAAACGTCAACTGTAAAGATGGAAAAGACCAGTGCGCCTCCTGAAGACTTCAACACCGAAGATGGGAATATTGAAAAAACTCTGTCGACCGGACACAGGCTGATACAGGCTGCACTGTTAGGGTCTTCTGTACATCAGAGTGAAGTCAGTAATGATAAAACTGTCGACCAGGAACATGTTGTGAAAAAGGAAAGGTTAGACCACAGCAGTAGCTCATCCAACGGTTTGACTGAAACCAATGGAAAAGGAGATTTGCTGCAGAAAGCCAACACCCGGCACATAAGGCGACACTGGTGTTCGGAATGCCACATGCCGTTCTCCAACTTCTTGGACCTGAAGTTTCACGTCATGATGAAACACCCCGACAAACTTCTCACACTGAACATTCCTGAGAAGAAGACACAGCAACAAGCAGCATCCTCTCCAGGGTTGGACCCAGTGGATGACAAAGAATCTCAGGACACTATACCCAGTACAAATGTTGGGAAAACAACACTGCACAGAGTGCTGCATAAACGTGGCAAGAACATGCAGACAGAGGAAAAAGATCCACCACACAAGGATCTCCCAGAACAAGTGCAGGCACACGCAACTACTAAACGGCTCCTCCTTCCTAAACCAGGAAAGGCGTGGACCAAAAGTCAGCTGATGCGACTAAAACAGAAAAGTCTGTCAGAAGAGGCCACAAGAACCAAGTATTCCAGAAAAGTGAGGTGGCAGTGCCCTGAATGTAAAAGTCTGTTCGACCATTTTCTAGGTCTGAAGGCACATGCTGTGGAAAGTCATTCCTTCATGTTACCCTTGCTTGATCCAGAAACCACGAAAATCAGACTTGACAGGAAGGCCTCTAAAGACTTCATGGGAGAAACAGAAACTGTTCCAAGTACATGCTAGGATAACACACAGTTGCAGGCTGCTCTTTAATTAAGCCCCTGTTACACATTCAGAACCTGACCACCAACTAACCAAGGTTGGCTGATTTTGGGGAGCAGATTTAGGCCACACCTACCTTTTTACACAAATTGAGTCAAATTTGAGATTATTGAGTCAAGCTTGGCCCTCAATTATGCCCTGACCACTTGTGATCTACTCATAAACACCAGCCAACCATGGCCGAACCTTGTCCACACCTGAATGTTTCAAACATTTTGAAACATTCATCTGGTGCAGCCAAACAGTAACAAATCTCACTGAACACCAGCCAACCACAGCTAACCTGGCTCCCGACCTACTCCTAACCATGGTTAGAGGGAGATCAGGAGTATTCTGGAGGCCATATTCAGCTAAGTGTGTGACAGGGGCTTTGGGAAGTTAATATAACTTCCATTCCTGTTCATAAGATACCTCAGGAAAGAAACTACATGAATTCCTAATTCAGGATAATATTGAGTCAACATGTGCTCTGAATTGTATCTTCTCTGTTGTATTTGGTTATATGATAACATTGTGAAAAAACAACTCAAAGATGAATGTTTAAATCACCATAACCAAGAATATATACATGTAATGACATTGATTTGTTTATGTTAACAGATATGTAGTGACAATACGGTCACATTCCTTATCATCATGTTGTTGGCCTATGTTGTCAAACTATGTGCAGTGAATTCCAGAATAAAATCATAATGAGCCAGAAGGTTGTGCCTTTAAGTTTTATCTAAGGACGGCTTGATTCCAATGACAACAAGAAACAACAGTTCCTGAAAACAGTCAAACGTGACAGGCATTGTTCGATGAAAAACACGTTTGGAAACAAATAGAAGAGTGTAGTTTGGGTCCAAACGTCTTTTTTCATTGAATAATGCCAACCAGGTTTAACTATTTTCAGAAACTTTTGTATTTCATGGTCTCCACCAGACTCCTCTGCGGGCTGAATAATGAGTAGTAGAAACCGGCTTAAGAAGGGGATATAATTGGCCAGAAGAGTTTGCCGGCCATGGAGGGTCCAGTTTGCATCTGCATTGTAAATCGTATCTAAACAATTTACAGACTACGCAATCAGCACCAAGGACAAACCCATCCTTTTTGTGCGGGCAAACTGGAATCTCTGTGGCCGGCAAACTCCTCTGGCCAATTATATCCCCTTTTAGGCCGACTTCTACTACTATTTATTCAGCCTGCAAAGGAGACTAGTATTTCATTGTTATAGGTATCATGCTGTGTTAAATGTGATATTGTAGACTACCGTTGCAGAGCACTCCTGAAAGCTTTCAGACACTGTTATTGAGGAATAAAAAAGGCGGCGCCCCGGCCCATAAATTCAGAACTTCAATTTGAAGTGTTGGCAGTAGAGCATGTACCCGATAAGAGACTTGGGAAAGTGGTCATTTGTTTTACTCCAGTTTGTGCTCCACACGTTATAGCTTGTCTTATAGATTATTTACAAAGGCGTTCTACATCAAGGATATGTAATAAGTCCTCGACGACTGTGGCCGTTCCTTTCAGTTAATTTTGGTACATCAGGCTTGAATTTGATAATGGTTTTGTTTTGGTTGGTGCATTCGGGCTCAAAGTCAACTCCAAGTACTCCGCCATCTCTGGAACTACGAAGGTCATCTATGTCGCTCCCGATCGAACAAAGGGAGTGCGATTTAATCAGACTATCAGTTAACTTATTGATCCGAACCCAGACACGTATCAAAGGTGACCGGCAACGCAATTTTTACTTCGAATTCGGTCTCGGTAGAGTTCTATCACAGATTGATGCGAGCTCGTGACATACGGCAATGTACAGATACAGTACGTGCCTTTGGAACCAAACTGGTAAAATTACCTTCGCAATGTGGGGAGGCGCTCTGCGGTTCGCTAAAAATGGACGTGTTTCGGCAAATTCAGCCGAGACAGAAGCAGCTGATGAAGTACAGTTTTATTTTCTCAGCAGGGATGAAAAAAGAGCGCTCAAGCTTTACGGACCTCAAAATTAAGGCTTGCAAATGTTCGACACAGGGCACACAATACACAGAACTCTAACCTTCTTTCAATGAAAATGATGACCGTGGCCTTGACGTAAACTCTACCAGGCTTCAGAAGCGGCATACAGTACTCTTTGGCGGACCAACTCCCCTGGCATGTTATCTGTCTATTTAGCCAATTTCTACTCTTTTCAGCCGCTTCCGAAGCCTGGTAGAGGCTAGCCTTAACGTATAACTCCCACCTTTTCAATTATTCGGTCAGATGTGTGTCGCAAATGTTATAACATGGGATTTTGTTACACTTTTGGTAACTTCCCTACCGCTGTAAATCATGATTACGTGAATGCCTTGTACGTACAACGATTGAGACTTAACGACCTTAAATGAGCAAGACGGGCCTATTGTGAAGGCATCATTAATGTGCAAGATTGACAGTAATGCCCCAGCAAGAATATCTGATTAGATGGTGTGATCTCGGCATGTAAATAATTCATGCGAATATTGTGCTGGATTATGAAAACTGGTACGTAATTCCTTGGTGGTCCCAGGAGCAAAAGACGAAATGTCCAGAAAATCTCACGAGGATTTGCGAGAAAAGCCCCTGTACTTTAATGCCCATCTTTCTCTGTAGTGTTTTATAGGGATGCGCATCCAATGTAATTTCAGGGCGGCAAACCAAATGAATATTCTGGATGAGAAAAACTGTCGGATATTGACATTTACTGCCATTTCTTAGCATATTTTCGTCTCCGTTTTATACTTGAAGCATTGTAAGGAGTATCTTAATTTTTTGATACCACCTACAAATGGCTACAACCAGCCTACGATACGTAACAAAGAACAATTTTCCATTAGCAACATCGAATTTTTACCTCACATATATCAGTGATAAGATTCAACTTACTACATAAAGAAAGACCAGAAAATTGACTTTGAATATCCAGTTTTCCCTCCTAAAAGTGTATTGGATGCCTTCGGTGTCCATCTTTAATTCCCTGTAGTGTTTGATATGGCTGCGCACCATTAATGATATGTTATCGCTGTTGTCAGTCGTCCGACAAGATGGAGCCAAAATACTGCTGGAACGCTCGAAACTACTTATCCACGGAATTGTGCGAGGGCCAACTCATAATATTAGAACAGCTGTCCGACTATGTTCAGGTGCCAAAACATGATTTTGTGCGTTTTCGCGTTGTCTCTGGTTAAAACGTCTTGAATTATTTCTTAGCCCGTGCACATGTACACCTGGAGCCGCTTGTCAAGATGACGAACAGCCCGGCACCTCCCTCAAGAACCGGAACACGGGAGTGAAATACCAAGTGCCTCTCTGTTGTCACAAAATCGACGTTATGTCTAATGCGGGGATCGAAATACCACCTGCACTGGCAGTGCAGGTAAAATTGGAGCTTGCAGGAATGCACTGGGCCATATGCATGTTTATATGTGGCTTTATATATATATTCATGTAGGTGTTACCACTTGAGAAGTATAGAAGAAAAATGGCAATGGTTTCTGGACAGTTTTAGTATTATCCTGAGTGGTGCAGCTGTAAACTACTAGGTAAATGAATGCAGAAAAGGGATTTCTATCCCTGCTAATGTATAGAACGACATATCAGCGTAATAAACATGATAAAGACGCTTGCTGTTCGTTTCGATCGTTAACGTCAAACAAAAAAGGCAAGTACATCAAGCCTCCATCTACCTGAACCAAACAGAAGCGTATAATAAACAGAAACATGACATGAGTAAAGTCGCTGTGTAATTTTTGTTAAAACTATAAATAATTACATCACAACTTGGTGTTCAATGAATGTTCACAAGTATTATCTTCGCCCCCGTAACACACCACTGGCAGTGAATAATGTTCTTACATTAACAGATGCCGGTGTACGTTTAGATGTATGACAGAATCAATAGCAGACCGCTTATGACAACTACTGAAGTCATTATGTCTCGTTTCAGTGACATGATTAATAGAGATGCTGGAATGTTCTCCCGCACGCACAGCATCGCCAGCTCAGCCCAGGCCACGAGCAGGTAGACGACATCGGAGGAGAAGAAGGCTATGTCCCGGGTAACCTGGTGAAACATCCCGCGCCCTAACAAAACGTTGGTAACGAACTGGTCCATGCCTCCTGCTAGGATGTGCAGAAGAGCGATAGAAGCGATGGTGTAGAGCTTCCTGGGAGAAGGTTTGACTCCTCTGTCCAACATACTCAACACCAGGGCGGTGGAGAGAAGCTCGGTGACGGTGAAGAGCAGCTGGTGGTACCACTGGACGTAAAAGTCGTCGTTGTAATACCCAAAGAACATCCACCACGAGTAGTAGTGCGGGTGAATGACGGCAAATAACAGCGCCAGCATGGTGTATCTGATTCTCCCACAGAGGGCGATGCGGACGACATAACTAATGCACTCGTACGTCATTATTACGGCGACAACTGTCAGGCCCCACATTTTGAACGTCTGAGCCGTCACGTTGAAGTAGACGTGCTTGTAGCGACCGACTCCCATTTCGTACGTGCCTTTGAACACGGTGTCCCAGCACTTGCACGTGCAGGCTTCCCTGTCCACGTCGGCTTTCTCCGGGCCCCATATCTTCATTATCACTCCAAAGTACACGAATTGAATGAAAGTCAGGAACAAAATCGTACACAGAAACCCGGCCAGTTTGGCAGTCTGGTAAAGTCTGGTCGTCCGCTGTTTTCGCTCGGCAAAATACGTCTGCATCGTTTCGATGTCGCCCTGAAGTAGAGGGATATCCGCATCCATTCCGCTGGGCCGTCCGTGATTGAACAGGTCGGAGAGATCTGTAATGGAATAAAGAGACAGAGAAGCCTCGCACAATCGCATTACCGTCGGACACAGCGACCAGGCTGGATTTATGGACGAGGGCCAAGGAAGTTACGTCCAGTTTATTAAATCAGTGGGGGTTTAAAGCTCCTTGATGAAATTAAGCCCGAACGCACTTCCCCGAGTTGGCTACACATTTCTGTGCATGCGACATTTCCGACAGCATTATTGGCTAGCAATTATATCAAATTGCCGTCACAAGAATTATAGTCGAATTTACTGTTTTTAAAGCTCCTCCAATGTAAACAACTAATTGTAAGTGCGTTGTGATATAATTGGGACATCATTTTATTCGAGGAAAGACATATACATGACCCCAATCATGTGCTCATTACTTGAGTTTAGCATAAGCAATAAACTGTCGTAATGACAAAATATGTCTAAACAATTGGACAACACAGTCAATATATAAAAAAAATCACCACCTACCTATGTCCTATGTCGCTGACTGGAGGAAAAACCGACCGTATACTTATGCACAACAGACGATCGATCTAAACCAGAGATGACGTCACTTGGAGACGCAGTGAATACGGGACAAAACTG